GCTGCCCTTCAGGCCTGGAATTGAACCCACTCCTGTGGCTTCCAGCCAAATAAAAGACTGGCATATGGGCTGAACATTTACATCAGGTAGATACACTCTTTAGAGAGATCAGTCATGGGAGACCAGAAGGGCAGTGTATGCACAGGGAGATAGCTTGGGTGGCAGGGGTGTATGGGAGGGAAGGACACCAGGAATAGATAACTACGGGGAGGAAGTGGGAAGAGAGTTACTACATTGTAGGAAGTTGCAGTCAGTGTCATGAGATAAAATATGTATAACCTGCTGTATGGGAAATGAATTTGCCCGGTAAATTGATCAAACTTTCACCCAAATTACAATAAAAATTTTAAAAAATAAAAATACCATGGTATTTAGTCCTGAAGGTGACATTTTTACTTTTTAACATGTCAAAGGAGTCTTTTGCAGCAGATGTGTCCAGTGCAACACGTCTTTTGATTTCTTGACTGCTGCTGTGCATGTAGGGGGACCATTTTGATTGTAGAGAAAGCAATCAGCTGTCATTTTGTGGTTCTGTTTTACTTTTTGAGGAGCCACCAAAATGTCTGCACAGTAGCTGAACCATTTGACCACTCGCAGTGTCTGGGATTCTCCATATCCTTGCTGACTCGTGTACTTTTCTGTTAAGTTACAGGCATCCCTGTGGGGTTGATGCTTTACTGTGTTAATTTGCATTTCCTTAATGACTAATGATGTTAAGCACTTTTCATGTACTTTCTGGCCATTTGTATATCATCTTTGAAGAAACGTCTATACAAATCATTTGCCCATTTCTTATAATCAGATTATCTTTTTTGTTGTTTTAAGAGTTCTCTATGTATTCTGAATATTAATCTCTTAGCAGATAGTTTCACATTTAATTTTGTAACCACTCCATAAGACTGTTGATGTCACCAACAATATCTCTGCTTCTCCCTTGACCTGCACTGTACTAAATTTAAAGTAGCAGCTCAGTGATACGCATTTGGTTGGTTCATTGATGTTGCTGCTCTCTGAGGCTGAATGCTGTGTCCCCTTATCATAAGTACCCTTTGGTTTCTAATAATCCTCACTGCACTGGTGTATCTTAGAACTTGACTTGTCAACAAGATAATAATGGGGCAGCATTTGCCCAGGGATAAGGTTAAGAAGGAAGGAATGCATAAGAAAGAAGGACAAAGGGAAGTAGTAAACACAGGGAGGAAGTGGGACAAGTGTGGTTACATGTTGAAGATTGCAGTGAATGTCACAAAACAAGATGTATATGAATTGTTGAATGGAAAACCAGTTTGCTCTGTAAACTTTCACCCAAATAACAATTTTAAAAAAAAAAAAAATGTTGACTTGTGCTTGAACAGTTTCTGTTAGAAAGATCAGCACAAGGCTGGTCCCCATGAGGCGGAGATTAAAGATGTCCCAAATGTCCAAACTACTGTGCCACTCCATCATTTCAGATGTTAACTCCTCCTCCTCCTCCCAGTAATCTCCCCTATCTTAGGGTTCTGTATTTCACTGTAACGCCTTACAGAACTCACAGACACCCAAGGGTTCATCTCATGTAGTGGTGGAATTTGCCATGAGCAACTGGGTAGCTGCTGATTGTTAAAGCCATCCACTTGGGTTATTTCTGTTGGAGCAACACAGGTGAGATACATCTTGAGTCCTGTCTTGGCAGGCTTGTGAGTCCCAGGTCTGTGAGTGGGTCTGGAGGATCCTCCCAATTCTCGGGGTTTGATGAACCTTGATCAGCAGATCAGGTGACGGCTGCTGTCCTAAATCCAGGGGTGAGATGAGGATGAGCCAAAACACAGAACCAGAGCAAGAAGAGGGTGAACCTTCCCAGGAGATTCTTAGGTATACCCTCAAGGAAGCTAAGTGTGGTGATTTGAATTATACCCTCCAGCAAGACAGGACTCAAGATGTATCTCACCTGTGTTGCTCCAACAGAAATAACCCAAGTGGATGGCTTTAACAATCAGCAGCTACCCAGTTGCTCATGGCAAATTCCACCACAGCACGGTTTGCCAGTCATTATAGGTAATGACCACTACCAGCTGCCCAGCCAAGCTGACACCTGACCTTAACTATCACACCACCCCAAACAGGCGTGGATAATAGGATTACAACACATCACAAAATGGAGGACACTGGCTAGAAGGGCCACATCAAGCAATTCACCACAACTTGTAAGCAAGCACAAGTCAACCAGTTAAAAATTCATCATCTTGTTATAAATAGAATGGGTGGGTTTTTTTAATGATGATAAGAAATGGGCCAAGAAGTGGCTACTTGTTACAAAAAGATCAAATAGTCTTTGTAGAAGATCGAATAGAAGGTGCAGTAGCTCAGTACTGCCTGTAGCAGCGCCTCCCCCCTGAGCTCCAGTCACTCCCCTTCCTGCATCTTATTACAATCTTCCTGCCATTTGTTTTCTTCACACACACACACACACACACACACCCGAGAATGAATGGGACTGTGGCTTATCTGGCTCATAATAACTAGATGCTGAATGAAGTGTTAAATTAATGTAGTATTTTAGTTTTAGAAAACTGTAACTGAGAGTTTCTGAACTTGGCTGGGTTCTGGAAGATTTTTGCTAGGCCCAGGTACCCTCCTTGCACCCTTTCCTGTCTTTTGCCCTCAGTTACAGGGATTAATAAGAGGTGTGGGTGTGTGGACAGTGAGTGAGCGTGTGCATTTATTTAGAAACTGAAGTTAAAAAAAAAAAAGATTGAGGACTTTGAATCCAATATTCAAGAGCACCCAAGTATTGAGATGGCTTCACAGTATAGCTGTTGATGTGAAGCCACAGATGTAAGTCATGGGTCACATCGTTAGGAGGAAGAGCCCAAGGACATCAATAGTGTGAGGTCCCAGTACCCACTGTAAAGTAGTGAGAGGAACCAGGAGCAGAAGCTCTTCCAAGCTGAGGCTGGGGGCTGGAGAACAGGTGCTCTGGTCTGGCAGAAGTGGAGAGGGTGAGCCCAGCTGGGCCTGGTTTTTATTGCAGTTGGGGTGTTTGGGGAAGGGGTGTGCTGCGGAGGTCAACACTGCAGCCAACTGGCTGGCTCCCAGCCCTTTTCCAGTGGCACCCTTGCAAATTCTCACAGGCTTGCAGACTTAAGTTCAGAGAAAGAGAGACAGACTGACACTTGTCGGTTTTGTGGTGGAATTGAGTTTTGGTCTCAGTGCTTTAGGTATTACTGGATGTTACTAGAGGTGGTAGGCCAGTCATGCAGAATCTCAGGTGTAAGCATTCCCCTCCTTTATTTACAGCTTTGTGACTAAATGGTCAATTGGCCGGTGTTTTTGTCATAAATGCAAAATATTATATACTTTGTGATATTTTGTAGTACAGTGTTTTAAATAAATTAGGCCCCTGTGAGGCAGTTGTATAGGAGTGCTTGGGTGACATAACATTAACGTGCTCAGCTGCTAACCGAAAGGCCGCAGGCTCAAGTCCACCCAGAGGCACCTCAGAAGGGAAGCCTGGTGGTCAGTGTTGAAAAGTCAGCCACTGAAAACCTGATGGAGCCCAGTTTTATTTTGACACATCTGATGTCACCATGAATTAAAGGTGACTTGATGGCACCTGGTTTGGTTTTTTGTTTTCTTATTTTTTACATCCGAGGAAATTACTGCTCAGAGATTTGCCTAAGACTATACAACTGGTATCAAGAAGCCCAAGTGGCACAATGGTTAAGTGCTCAGCTGCTAACCAAAAGGTTAGTGGTTCAAACCCACCCAACTGGCTTTGCAGGAGAAAGACCTGGTGATCTGCTCCTGTAACGATTACACCCTTAGAAAGCCCTATGGGGCAGTTCCGCTCTTACCACATGGAGTCACTAAGAGTCGAAAATCAACTCATTGGCACTCAATAACAGCACACGGCTGGAGGTGGTAGAGTCAGACTTCAAGTCCAGATTTGGTGGGCTTTTGGTTGGCACAGGGAGCTCTGCTGGTGTGGTGCCTAAAGCATTTCAATGCTGACCAGAAGGTTGGAAGTTCAAACCCACCAGCCACTCCACAGTCTACTTCTGTAAAGATTTACTGTCATGGAAACCCAAAGGGGGTAAATATGAGTCGGAATTGACTAGATGGCAGTGAGTTTGGTTAGTTTTTGGCGGTTGGCACTTGTCCTTTAAACCCTCTATCCACCTACCCACCCCCGGACATAAATCATGTCTCCTCCCAGGCCTGCTTAAACGTTTAGCTGGGTGCTCTGATGTCAAAGGAGCCCTGGCTTTTGATGGTGTTGAACTAAATCATCTTACAGAGGAGTGACAGTGAATGGGAGAAAACGTCTGTCAAGTACGAATGACATTGGAGTGTTTTCCCAGTGTTTGCCTTCAGAGGAGCTGAAATGTCCATGTCCTTGTACACTGCTAGGGCACAGTGCCCTGTAAGCACTGAAACAGATTGGATGCTCTTTTTTCCTGATACCTCATCTTGAACAGAAATGTGTGCTTGCTGTAAAAATTCAAACTCCCCTCATTTGCTTACTCAAGAGGTAATGACCTTCATAGTTTGCCATGTATTGTTCTACCCTTCTCTGTGCATTTATAGCTGTAGGGTTGTTTTTTTGTTTTGTTTTGTTTTGTTTTGTTTTGTAAAAAGGAAGAAGATGCAAACACATGGATCATAAAATGGGTGTTTTCTGCAGCTTGCGTTTTTCCTCTTAAAATATATTTACTCATCCCGTTGGCTTTCCTCATTTGCAGAGATCCTACAGCAAGGAGTTGTTTGAAGAAGTGATTTTGAAGATGAGGAAGGCAGGGATCAAGTCCACAATAGCAATAGAGAAGTTCAAGCTTCTCGCCGAGAAAGTGGAAGAGATAGTAGCCAAGAATGCACGTGCAGAAATCGACTATAGTGATGCCCCTGACGAGTTCAGAGGCAAGTGGAGGCCACTCTTTTCAATGCAGAATTCTCTCATGAACTTGAAGAATGTAACATTATAAGGGGGCATTCTGTGCTTTCACCTTTTTAATGGAATACAATAGTTGCTTTTTGAAACACTTTATCTGATATTGCATTCACCTAATTTTAGTTCATATTGTAAATTAAAAGAAATAAAAACAAAGTCCTTAGCCAGAAATCAAACCAGATGACAAATCTGAAGATCCTAAGGGAAGCCTTGCCTTGTAAGTAGGAATTCAGGTTTCCCAGCCATCTGAGCTTTTCTTGGATAAGGGACCCTAGCCCGCCATCTTCTCGGGGAGGGCCTGCGGCTGTGTCTGTCTCCAGTCTGTCTTCACTATTCTTTCCCCCCAGCACCAGCTAACAAAAGGCTACATTCCCATCAGCAAGAGGCAATTCTGATACCTTTATTTAATGCTGATTTCATTCTAAACTCAGGGACCTAAGTAGGGGCCATTTGATTGCTCATCCTATGGCTATAATCTCACAGCTAAGAGAGGCTTTGTTTGTTTTCCTTTCCATTTTAGACTCTAAAAACATTAGAGTTTGGTTAACCAAGGATCTTTGCCCCTTCAGACCCTCTGATGGACACCCTTATGACTGACCCCGTGCGGCTGCCCTCTGGGACCATCATGGACCGCTCCATCATCCTGCGGCACTTACTCAACTCCCCCACAGACCCCTTCAACCGACAGACGTTGACAGAGAGCATGCTGGAACCAGGTAGGGGAGGGAACGGCTTGGACTGCAATGCTGACATGAGGACCAAGAGGTTAAGCCAAAATCATACACCAGAGATGAATGGAAGGAGGGAGATTTACCACATCCAGAAACTACATCATCAGTGACACTTTTTACAGAAAAGATACGAAATAATCTTTGTCCTTTGTAACTGTAAAATTCTAGTCTGCCTTCTTCAGTCCTCAGCTTAACATGGGAATGAAAGACCCTTTCTCTCCATTTATACAAAACTCTGAGCATCATCTCTCAGGAAGAACCCTTCCATCTGGGGCCTTAACCCTCCTTTCCTTTTCTTTCCTCAGTGCCAGAACTGAAAGAGCAGATTCACGCCTGGATGAGAGAGAAACAGAACAGCGATCATTAAACCATCCCCTTTCCCACCCCCTGCTTGAAACAGCCAAGGCCAGTGAGGCGAACAGAAGCAGCATTGGTGGCAGAAATGCTGTAAAAACGTTGGAGGCCAGATGTGGCCAACGCACCGTAAGCCCACCCTGAGTGACCAAACGGTAGAGACCTGAAAGGACGTGATGAGAAGAGGAGCCCAATTCCTGTACATATATTTAAGTGACAAACATGGTCAAAAGCTTGAGGGACACATGTTATGATTGCTTATGTAACAAAGCACGTCCTCCCCATGCCACCATTTGAGGCTTTTGCAGCTGAAGTTTTAGAGCAATGATGAGCGGGCTGGGCAGCATCTCCTTCATCTGTTGTTGTTGTCGTTTTTTTTTAAAAAAAACAAACCGACATCCGCTGATTTGATTGTGATTAGAGAGCCTTGGACATTTGCTGCTAAATAATCCCCTCGCCCCCCCTTCCCAGCCCTACTTGCACTGCTGTGGGTTTTTAAGAGAAGCAAAAACAAAACTAAACTCCTTTCCCTGGCCCTCCAAACATATTCTGTGAGATAACTGTGCCTGCAACAAAGTGTTAATCCTGGGATCGTATTTTTATATCATATTCACATATTTGTTTTTTTAATTGGTGTTAGATGACATGATTAATAAAAAAGGCAAGATATTTTCAGAATTTGAATTTCAGTTTTTATTTTTTTTTTCTTTGGTAATATCCCTCTTAAATTTTTTATTCTGAACAAAATGAAGAGAATCCTGCTGCTCCTTTCCTTCTAATAAGCCCTTTATTAGGATTCTTAGAAACAGCTGCAGCAAAGGAAGTGTTTTAAGTATATCAGGACTTACATGACTTCTGTTTTTTTTGGGGGGAAAGGGGTGGTTTTTTTAATGCTACATGACAGTTTAAACCTTTATAGTTGTCCTATGAGGGTAAATAAATTCCTCACTCTTGAGTCTATGAGTTCAAGGCAGGGTCATTTGTACGCCGTGTCCTTTGAGGCCTGGCCTTACCAAAGCAAAAAAGGGTGCAAGAAATGTGGAAGTGTATCTGTTTATTTAAACATACACATGTGCCCGTGCACACTCACACACACACGCACACACCTTTTTGTATTACTTCTCCCCATTTAACATACTTGAATTCTTGGATTTCCTTTGGGGTAAAAAAGGATTTGAAACCATCAAAGTGTTTTAAAGAAATTAAGTCAACAAAACATACTTTCTTTTTCTTTTCCTTTTTTCCCCCCTCTACAGACAATGTCCTCTGTTCGATTCCTAATTCAAACTCCAATAAATGGTGATACACATTCAGAAGGAATCTTCTTTGAGTCTCTTCTTTTCTCGGAGTGGGCAAGAAGGGGTGCATGAAGAACAAGGGCCAGAGGAGCCTGCATGTGGCCGGTTATCTTTTCTGGCCAGTTATCCACTTAGGAGTTGCTATTTTTAAAGTAAAATGTTCTTATTTGTGTCATTCTTTGTGCTACATTTGGTCCTCATTTCAGTGTCTGCTGTTTGAAGGGTAGAGCTTTCTCACCTTTAGCCCCCTGCCCTGCTAAGCAATTACCTGTCCCAACGACCTTCTCCCTGAACTGCAGGATTCTAACTCAGGTCCCACCCAGCTCAAAAACATTTTCCTAGGCATTCCAGTCAAAAACACATTTCTACCAACTCATGTCATACATAATAATATAATAGCAGCAAGCACTTTTATGGTATTTACTTTGTGCCAGGTGAAGTTCTTGAGTGGCAAAAATGGTTACACACTCAATACTAGCTGAAAGGTTGATGGTTCAAACCCACCCAGAGGTACTCAGAAGACAGGCCTGGCAATCTGCTTCTGAAAGGCCCCATCCCTGAAAACCTCATGGAGCAGTTCTGCTTTGCACAATGGGGTCACAATGAGTCAGAATCAATAATTAACAATATTATGCATATGTGTGTGGCTATACATTTAATAACTCAATGCATGTATTATATATCTATAAAGACATTAATTATACTGTTTACTGGCTTCTATGCTTAATTTTGTTTATCTCATGGATGTGTATTGTTTTTCTTCTCTCCATCTAAATTATAAATTCTTCCAAGGCACAGCCTCTATCAAATAATTTAATCCCCTGACTGTCCCCCATGAACATAATAGGTTTCATTGTCCTTATTACTGATCAGTAAAACTCAGAACCTGGCTCACACACACACACACACAAAAACAAATTCACTGCCATTGAGTTGGATCTGACTCATAACAACCCCTCCTTGGGCTTCCAAGGCAGTATCACTAAGGAAGTACATCACCCAACCTTCCTTTCAAGGAGTGGCTGGTGGGTTTGAATCGCCAGCCTTCTGGTTAACAGTCAGATGCCTTAGGCACTATGCCACCAGAGCTCCTAATCAGTCCTTGGTGGGTAGATAATAACAACTTTACTTTCATAAGCGTGTCTGTGTGCAAACCACTCTTAACATGTATTAATTCATTTAATTCTCAACAACTTTATGAAGGTTGCTGACCTCATTTTATAGGTGTATGAGATGAAGGCACGGAGCAGATAAATAACTTGCCCAAGATCTTTTGGCTGGGGAGCAGTGGAGCCTGTATATGAATGTAGGTCATCCGAGCTTTAAAGCCTGTTCCCTCACCACTCCTGCTGTATGTGAATAATCCAGGATGGTGCAAGTACAGAAAAATTCAGAACACTTAAGAAGATTAGGAGAAGCAGCAAAGTAATCTGGAAGGGGTGTAGACCTTGGGGTTAACAGCCCATGGCTCTAGACCTAACCTTCATTCTAAATAGATTACTACAGTGATCCTAAATTTTATTATATCTATCTATGTTTTTACTTATTTTTTATTAATATAAAACTTACATTTTTAAGTATAATTCAGTGGTATTTAGTGTATTCACAGTGTTGTACAACTATAGTTCTCTCTAGTTCAAAACTGCAGATGTGGTTTCAGGGCCTTAACTTTGTTTTCTTTTGAAAAGGGAAGATAATCACATTATTCAAAATGCAAGTGATACAAAGGTCTGCCTTAAGCATTATGCCCTTTAAAGAACTATCAACGTGGGATCAGATTGATAGCAACGCGAAAGATTAGATAGGAACCTTAGGGGGTGTGTGCTTATATTAATGAGGAAGGCAAGACTCAGAAAAGGAGGGTGATAATGGTTGCACAACGCAAAGAATGTAATCAATACCACTACTTTGTATGTATAGAAAGTTGAACTGGTGTATGTTTTGCTGTGTATATATATCAACAACAACATTTTTGAAAAACAGTAATAATGCTTCCCAACCCCCTCAGTATGTAAGCCAGGTCTTTACAATGGCCCCAGTGCAGTACTCTCCCACCCCATTATGTCTCTGGCCTTATCTCCTACAACTCTTCCCCTCCAACTACTTAACTACACTGTGCTCACTGCTCTTAAACTCACTAGGCACACTCTCCACCCTGCCCAGGGCACTTGTACTTGCTATTCACTCCACAGGTAAATCTCTTCCCACAGATATCCATGCAGGTCATTCTCTCCCTTACTTCCTTCAGGTCTTCACTCACTCGTCTTGGTGAACCCTTCCCTAGCTACCCTTTGTATAATGGCAGTCATTCAGCCACCCTGCTGTCCCTTGCTTTTCCCTTTCTTTACATTTTCTCCTTAGTCTCTGTCACTGCCCAACAAACATGATACTCTGGACTGCAGTCCATCGTATATTCACATTAGTATGATAGTATGACTTCACTCTATTGTGTGAGAAATACTGTATAACATACAGAAGATCTGTATTACTTATATTACTTGTTTCTAGTCTGTTCTGTATCCCCAACACCTAGTAGCATGCCTGGCACAGAGTAGATACTCAATATATATTTGCTGAATGAATTAATCTCATCATATATTTGTTGTTCAGTTCTATCAGTTATCTATTGCTGCGTAACAAAATCATCCCAAAATTCAGTGGTTTAAAATAATAATCGTCATTTATCTCTCATCATTCTGTGAAGTTCCAACAACAAACATCCAAGAAGACAAGAGAGATGCTGTATCTTTTACAACCTAGACTTGGAAGTCACACAGCCATCGCTTCTGCCTTAGCAGTTCACCTGGACTTGAGAGAGTATCAGTGTCACGTTGTAATAAGTGTATATGGAAGGTACTGTTGTAGCTATCTTGCAAAATAAGATCTGCTACATTCCCCATCTGGTAACAACAATTTACATTCTTCCTACAAGAAAAATACTTCTATCACTTACCCTCAAACTGAAAGTTTTATATCACGATGCCATCGGCTTAAAATCCAGTATCTCATTATCGGAATCAAGTCCAAGTGCAGATGAGGCTCCTTGGATGTGATTCTTCAGGAACAGTTTCTTGAGTACCATTCCTCTGGATCTGAAGATCTGTTAACTAAAGATAACAATTATTTACACACACACACACAGCATACAATATAGAATTCTAGTGGTGTAGTAGAGAAGGTACCTGGCTGCTAAACAGAAGGTCAGAGGTTCAAACCCACAAGCTGTTCCATGGAAGGAAGATGGGGTGATCTACTTCCTGAAGATTTACAACCTCAGAAACCCATTGGGGGTCACTATGAGTCACAATCGACTCAATAGCAGTGAAGTTTTATACATATGTATGTACGTATGTATGTACATATCATAAAATAATGGGACAGGCATAGAAAACCACTATGTTGTTGTTATGTGCCGTCGAGTCGGACCCAACTCATAGTTACCCCTCCTTGGGTTTCTGAGGCCGTATCGCTATGGAAGTAGATTGCCCAGCCTTCCTTCCAAGGAGTGGCTGGTGGATTTGAACTGCCAGCCTTCTGGTTAGCAGTCAAGTGCCTTAGGCACTGCGCTACCAGAGCTGCTAGAAAACCACTATGTTGTTGTTGTCTTTATGTGCCGTCAAGTCAGACCCGACTCATAGCGACCCCTCCTTGGGTTTCCGAGGCAGTATCACTACGGAAGTAGATTGCCCAACCTTCCTTCCGAGGATTGGCTGGTGGGTTTGAACCGACAGCTTTCTGGTTAGCAGTCAAGTACCTTAGGCACTATGCTACCAGAGCTCCCAGAAAACCACTATAGATACTATTATTCAAAAAACAACATGGAAGCATACAGGAGTCACTGGTTGCTGGAATAATTTCTTTAAAAAGGATCAGCACATGGTTGAAGTGGAGGTTAACGATGTCCCAAACGTCCAACTTTTCCAAACTGCTGTACCACTCCATCATCTCTAACATCAACTTCTACTCCTCTTCGGTACTTTCCCTCCCATCTTAGGGTTCTGTATTTTGCTATAAAGTCTCACACAACTTACAAACTGCCAAGGAAATGGTTTACATGATGGTGGAGGTTGGGTGGATGGCAAGTCCCAAATCTGGGGTCAAGCACTGATCTGGAGAATTCTCCTCACTCACATGGCTGCAGGGGCTGGTGAACCCAAATCACCAGGTCTGATGACTGGCTGCTGTCTCAAGTCCAGGGATGAGATGGTAACGAACCAAATGCAGGATCCAGAACAATTACCGGTATACCCCCAAGGAAACTAACGGTGGTGTCTTGATTCTCCAGTGTGGCAGAAATACCACAAGTGGATGGCTTTAACAAACACGGATTTATTCCCCTACAGTTTAGGCGGCTAGAGGTCTGATTTCAGAGTGAGTACTAGGGGCTGGTGAAGGCCCCTGGACCTTGGGCTTCAGCTCTGCCTCTTGCTCCCGGCCCACTGGAGCTGGCAACTTCTAACTCACGCAGCTGCTGGCTGCTCAGGTAAAATGGTACAGTCCCAAGATTGTCAGGCCACTGGTTCAGCTTCAGGAAATCCCACGATTAACAGGCAACATGGCAGGCCCCTAGTTCAAGTCTAGGACCTGATCATGAAGACTCAGTGAAACGCAGGATCCAAAATGTGCCAAAAAGCTAAAGCTCTTGGTCAAAGCTTCTCTATATATACTGGAAGCAGGCCACACCCCAAAGGCAACTACTTAGCTGCTCACAACAGATTCCACTATGGAGGTGATTATAATCTCATCATGGGGAATAACTACATCCAGCTGCCAAGCCACTAAAAGCCATGACCCAGCCAAGTTGACACACAACCTTAACTACCACAGGTGGTGATTTGAGTCACACCCTCCAGCAAGGTGTACATCCCACCCTAAACAGGCATAAAACCCAAAAAACAAACCCACTGCTATCAAGTCTATTACAATTCACAGTGATTCCCATTGGATTTCCAAGGTGATAAATCTTTACCGAAGTAGATTGCCTCATCTACCACGGAGTGGCTGGTGGATTTGACCATC